TCTATCACTCTTCTAGAATTCATAAGACTTATGTGGAGTCTATCAGAGTCACCTGGAGTCTATCAGACTCACCTGAAGTCCATCACTCTTCTAGAGCTCCTAAGACTCATGTGGAGTCTATCAAACTCACCTGAAGTCTATCAACAGGGATGGAAATTAGCACCCACCTTTGGCCAAGGGCGGGTAAAAATTTTGAAGTAGCGTGTAAATTTGAACAACGCACCAGCCACTGTGGCAGGTTTGCAATTTGAAAAGAAAAAAAATAGTTAAATATGTACCCCTGACCTATAGGGGCAGCAATGTGCCTGAGTTGCTGCTAGTCTGCTCTAATTGCCATTAGAAGGAGGAAACAGTAGCTTTAGTCTTTATCAATGTGGCGTTACATTTCGGGAGTTAAGTAGGTTGCAGACAACAAAAACCTTTCTCCAGAGAAGTTGAGGGATAAACTGTGGGTTGTTTTTTAACGAAAAATGGAAAAGAAATGACAATGGCAAGTTCCGTGACTGTCTCGTTTTTGATGAGAGCAGCCAGTCAGCGTTTTGTTCCAGCTGTTGGCAGAACGAGCTCTCCAGTTAGACTAATAATAACCTTATTGTAGGCAGAAAAAATTAGAAATTAGAGGCCATCAAAGACCACAAAGCATCTAAATGCCACAAGGTGAAATGCATCGTTCAAGAAGAAAACTGCTGCTGAGTGCACCGAGCAGCTGAAAACAGCATGAAAAGCTGAATGTACTGTTATGAATGGCTCTGCAAGTAAGTAATCTGATTACTATTAAGCATGTATCATAATGTTAGCTACCTTAGTCTTACAGTAACACAATGTGTTGTGTTAGTACTGGCAAGTAGCAACGCTTTATCAGTGTATGTAAACAAGACTGTACAGTATCCTGATGCATGCTCAATAATCCAGGTAGAAAAATCCAAAAAAGTTCAATCTGGTCCTCTGGACATTCAAAAAAAAAAAAAAAAAAGCAAAAAAATATAGAAACGTTTCGTCTCTCATCCAAGAGACTTCCTCAGTCTGAGGTGCTGTATTCAGCTCAGTCTCTTAAATAGCACCTTCTCAGAGTGGATCAACCAGTTTGCTGCTGACAACAAGACTGTACAGTAATTTTGGTGTTGCAATTAAAGTTATCGCAGTTTATGTGGAAAATCAGATGATGCTATATAATATTTTTTCTCCTTCAGATGAAAAGCAGGGAATATAGACAGGCAGCACCTGGCTGAAGTGTACGGATGTCTCACCTCTACTCAGTCAGTGCCGGCAAAATACAAAATAAGGTGAGAAGTCCAGACAGTTAATGCAAAATATGAAGTTGTCCAGGACTTTCTATTATAAATTTAGTGTACTAATTAGGGATGCACCAAGCCACTTTTTTTTTTACTTCCGATCCGATCCCGATACCTAAATCTAGATATCGGCCGATACCGATCCAGTTCCGATATCATGATCATCATTGATTTTATATGAGGCTGTAATAATCTGCTCTCAAGTACAATTTGTACAAATCTATGCATGCATGTCCAAAAAGGCAACTTGAGGTAAGTTCTATTAATGTTGGATAAGTTTTAAAGTTAGAATTAAATCCTGCTAACACAAAACATGTTTCTTTTTATTCCTAGTTTTAAAGTGGATATTAAAGTGATTAATTTAAGTAATTGTTTAGAGTTATTTTATATTTTTTTAAATAAGGGGCAGATATAAGAATTGTTTTTCTTCTTTCTGCACTCTTTTCATTCAATATTTTCTTTTCGATGATTTAAAAATTTTTTTTTATTTTGTTTCTTTTAAATGAATGTATAAATGAATTAAATTAAATAAAATGTTAAATGTCTTCAAACACTTGGCATAAACCAACAGGCATGTTCCTGTTTTTAGTATTTTACATCACTTTATAATGTAGCTGTTTTTATTTTTAATATAATTTTCAAATCACATGTTTTTTATGATTGTCTCCTGTTGTACTGATAAATATCTCCTGGAGGGTAAACTAGATCTTGGCTGCAAGTATCAAACTGTGAAATCCTTTGTTTTCTACAACTGATAGTGGTTGGTCATTAATTATGAAGTTTATCAACTTCTCTGTAAACATTAGAGCTCCGTGGTTTCAGCGACGTCTTCTTCTTGTTCAGTCCGAAGCAGGCAGTCTGATCTGGGTCTGCCCCGCTCAGTCTGTCCCTCCTCAGAGACGGGCAGACTGAGCGGGGCAGAGTGGACGCAGCTGGCCGGGGTCGAGTCGCTTGTTTTGGGTTGAGCAAAGAGCAGCGCCCCGCTGAAGCCACGGAGCTCGAACGTCCAACATAAAACTAACTTTAACGTGGTTTAATGTGGCGCTGTGGCTCTGCAGACAGTGCACGTTGCTGTCTTGTGTTGTGGTGTTTAGTGTAAAATACTTCCACACAGCGACATGTTTAGATGAAAAGTTTGTTAGCTGTTAGCCACAGTGCTGCTAACTCAGTTCTCACGTTGTAGCTGCTGCAAACTATGAACTGGATTTCCTGAATGTGAGGCGGGTCTTATTACTCTGGGTTCTTGAGACACGCCGCCGTTCAGGAAATCCAGTCCATAGTTTGAAGCCAACATCCATCATGGATCGGAAAAATCCAATTCGTAATTTATGCTGGTATCAGAGGCTGATACCGATACTGGATCGGATCGGACCCATCCCTAGTACTAATCCACCACAGGCCTGGACCCAAACTGGCAGCCTGCATGGACCAGTACCAGTGGAATGAGAAGGTCTTAAGCTCAGTAAGGAAAGCAAAGTTCCATCTCCTGGACAGTCTGTGTGAGAAGTTGCAGAACCGATTTGCTGATGAATTCCAGGGTTCTTCATGGAACCATGTTGGTGGACCTGAAATCTTGGCCTGATGCACAATACTCTGAAGGTATATAGTTTGTCCTAATATTTTTCAGTTTTAAAATAATTTACACATTTGGTGATCCATGTAGTATAACTAAATATTTGTGGGACTATTTGTGTCTTTCTGCAGAGTTTGGGGAGGCAGAGGTAGATGACCTGACAAGTCATTCAAGCCTCATGAGTGACAACTGATCTCATCCCAGACCAGTGGATGATTCTAAAAAAATGTTTGTACCAAAGGGTGACTCTCCATTCTACAGCTTGGCCTGAGATGAACTGAATGCTACAGCATCAGTGCCCCGATGTGCTCAGCTTGGTGGACCTCGTCCTCTCCATTCCAGCCTCCACCGCAGACTGAGAGAGATGCTGTCATGGTGCACATGATGTGCTACGTTAAATCAGACCAAGTACATATGTATGGTAAACTTCTTTACTGAAAATGTTTTCTGACCGAGTTAAGAATAAATCATATGATTTATATAATCTGATTGTACTGGTGGGGTTTGTAACCAAAGGAAAGTGTTACACACAAAAAAGAAAAATAGTGGCAGGTAAAAAAAAATTCCCCACCGAAAATTTTTAATTTCCACCCGTCTATCAGACTCATTTATCAGACTCACCTGGAGTTTATTAGACTCACCTGCAGTCCAACCGCAGATGCAGGAACCTGCTGCAGTAACGATGTTGCCAGTTGCTTGACTTCGAGGAAGTTGCTGGCCACGCAGTAGAGGATGTTCTGGGCATGTGCAGGAGTCACCATCTCACCCAGAGCGAAGACATCGGGCTCTGAAGAACAACACAAAGACAAAGGTGAGGAGGACGGAACAGAAACTGCTCGGACACATTCATTTATTCATTCAACCTTTATTTCTACAGGTTAGTCTCAATGAATCACAAGGACTCATTTACAAGAGAGACCTGATTTCAATAAAGAACACAGATGAGCTACAGACAACAAAAAACATTCAGATGAAAGCATATACAATGAAAAGTAAATAAATTATATAAAACAAATGGATGGATGGATGGATGGATGGTTGGATGGATGGATGGATAAAACGGTGTAAAATACTAAAAACAGGAACATGTACTTTAAAAAGTAAGGGAGTTATTAAATGATAAAGCTCTGTATATGTTGTATAACACAACCATTGTTCCACACTTAATCTATTGTATTGATGTTCGGGGGAAAGCGTGTAAAACAATTATAAATCCTATTTTCGTTTTACAGAAAAGAGCTGTAAGAATTATTACCAGGAAGCATTTCAGTCATCCATCAAGTACTTTATTTTATCGTCTGAACTTATTGAAGTTCAGGAGTGGGTCACCGGGGCCCCACTCTGGAGCCAGGTCTGGAGGTGGGGCACGCGGGCGAGCGCCTGGTGGCTGGGCTTTTACCCATGGAGCTTGGCCGGGCACAGCCCGAAGAGGAGACGTGGGTCCCCCTTCCCATGGGCTCACCACCTGTGGGAGAGACCAAAGGGGTCGGGTGCAATGTGGGATGGGTGGTGGTCGACGGCAGGGACCCTGGTGGTCTGATCCTCGGCTACAAAAGCTGGCTTGTGGGACGTGGAATGTCACCTCAATGGTGGGGAAGGAGCCTGAGCTGGTGTGTGAGGCTGAGAGGTTCCGGCTAGAAATAGTCGGACTCACCTCTACGCACGGCTCTGGAACCAGTTTCCTTGAGAGGGGCTGGACACTCTTCCACTCTGGAGTTGCCCCTGGTGAGAGGCGCCGAGCAGGCGTGGGCGTACTAATTGCCCCCCAACTTGGTGCCTGTGTGTTGGGGTTCACCCCGATGAATGAGAGGGTGGCCTCCCTCCGCCTACGTGTGGGGGGACGGGTTCTGACTGTCGTTTGTGCTAATGCACCAAACGGCAGTTCAGATTATCCACCCTTTTTGGAGTCCTTGGAGGGGGTACTGGAAAGTGCACCTCCTGGGGACTCCCTTGTTCTGCTGGGGGACTTCAATGCTCACGTGGGCAATGACAGTGAGACCTGGAGGGGTGCGGTTGGGAGGAACGGCCCCCCTGATCTGAACCCGTGTGGTGTTCTGTTGTTGGACTTCTGTGCTCGTCATGGATTGTCAATAACAAACACCTTGTTCAAGCATAAGGGTGTCCATATGTCCATTTTTTTTTCTTGCTACTCTACGGTGAAACCAGATGTGTTTTCCCTCTCTGCCCCCCCACACGCTTCCCTGCTGCGCTCTTTTGTCCTGTGAACCCTTAAAAAAGCCTCTCTTTTTTTTCCTGCATACCTCTTAATTGGAAGGATCAGCTGGTCTCTCAACAAAATCGATCAACTTCTTCCGACAGGAGTCAGGGTAAGGAGGACACTCTGAACTCCGAAGGACAAATTGGATTCATGATGACAACTAGATTCTACTGTTTGATTGGTGGAATCTGGTTGTCTACAAATTCGTGTGGAGGTGTTGAAGCTTGACAGTGCTCGGATTGGATGTGGAGCTGTGACAGGGAATTGGAGCAGCTGTTATCAGGACTGTGATCTCCCTGGCAGCACTCATGAATGGTGGAATAATCTGGAGAAGCTGTGAGCTCGACTTTTGGAGTAAAGGATCAATTCGGCTGTTTTGGAGTTTCCATCAGAGAATATGTACCAGCGAGACTTTAAAGGCAGAAACAACAATTACGAGTTCTGCCTGACCCAAACTGTGGCCTTGATGCCGGACTTATCTCAACTCCTCCTGGAATGTTCAGAAAACAACAAAGATGCTTTGACTGTTTCCTCACCCCTCCCTCCCCCAAGGCCGTGGACATGTAACAGAACCTCAACTGAGCTGAAGATGAACGTCACCTCTTATCTGGACAATGGCTGAGGGGGGGCTCTGGACTATGCTACGACTTTCCCTTAAAAATTCAATGTTTTCACCGCCTATATGTTCATGTATAACGTCTGTTTATGTTGCTTTGCTGTGGTAGGTTTTTTTGATGCCTCAAATTGTGCCCTGTCTAGGACAAGGTGTGAGAGATCTTTTTTTTTATTTTTTTATACCGTCTCTCCTCATGTTTTCTTTCCTTTTCTTATCTAAGCAAAATATTATTCTGAATAAGAATAAGAAGGCCGCGCTAATTATTTTAGCCGCAGCTTCGTGCACTCCGCCCATCTTCGGACGACTGTACGTACATATTCGCGTTGTATCTCGGTGCAATGCCAATAAAGTTTATTCTGATTCTGATATATGTTCTTGGCACCAGGACACCCTAGGCCGTGGTTCGATGATCGACTTTGTCATCATCCCATCTGATCTGCGGTCACATGTCTTGGACACTCGGGTGAAGAGAGGGGCGGAGCTGTCCACTGATCACTACCTGGTGGTGAGTTGGCTCCAAAGGTGGGGGAGGATGCCGGTCAGACCTGGCAGGCCCAAACATATTGTGAGGGCTTGCTGGGAACGTCTGGCAGAGTCTCCTGTGAGACGGAGTTTTAACTACCACCTCCGGGAGAACTTCGAACATGTTCCGGGGGAGGAGGAGGACATTGAGTCAGAGTGGGCCATGTTCTGTGCCTCTACTGTCGAGGCGGCTTACCGAAGCTGCGGCCGCAAGGTTGTCGGTGCCTGTCACGGTGGCAACCCTTAAACCCGGTGGTGGACACCGTCGGTGAGGGATGCTGTCAGACTGAAGAAGGAGTCCTATCAGGCCTTTTTGGCCTGTGGGACCCCGGAAGCAGCTGATGGGTACCGGCAGTCCAAGCGACATGAGGCAGGGGTGGTTGCTAAGGCAAAAACTCGGGCATGGGAGGAGTTCGGAGAGGCCATGGAGAATGACTTCCACACAGCTTTGAGGCAATTCTGGTCCACCATCTGGTATCTCAGGGGGGAAAGCGGTACGCCACCAACACTGTTTATAGTGGGAGTGGTGTGCTGCTGACCTCAACTCGGGATGTCGTGGGTCGGTGGGCAGAATACTTTGAAGACCTCCTCAATCCCACCGACACGTCTTCCACTGAGGAAGCGGAGCCTGCAGACTCTGTGTCAGGCCCTCCAATCTCTGGTGCTGAGGTCACCGAGGTGGTTAAAAAGTTCCTCGGTGACAGGGCCCCAGGGGTGGATGAGATTTGCCCAGAGTTCCTTAAGGCTCTGGATGTTGTAGGGTTGTTTTGGCTTATGCGACTCTGCAATATTGCGTGGACATTGGGGGTAGTTCCCCTGGATTGGCAGACAGGGGTGGTGGTCCCCATATTCAAAAAGGGGGACCGTAGAATGTGTTCCAACTAGAGGGGGATCACGCTCTTAAGCCTCCCTGGTAAGATCTATTCGGGGGTTCTGGAGAGGAGGGTCCGTCGGATAGTCGAACCTCGGATTCAGGAGGAGCAGTGCGGTTTTCGTTCTGGTCGTGGAACACTGGACCAGCTCTACACTTTCAGCAGGGTCCTGGAGGGTGTGTGGGAGTTTGCCCAACTGGTCTACATGTGCTTTGTGGACTTGGAGAAGGCGTTCGACCGCGGCCCTCGGGGAACCCTGTGGGGGGTACTCTGGGAATATGGGGTCCCAGGCCCTTTGATACGGGCTGTTAGGTCCCTGTATGACCGGTGTCAGAGCCTGGTCCGCATTGCCGGCAGTAAGTCGGGCTTGTTCCCGGTGAGAGTTGGACTCAGGTTGCCCTTTTGTCACCGATTCTGTTTCATAACTTTTATGGACTTAATTCCTAGGCACAGCCAAGGTGTTGAGGGGATCCGTTTTGGTCGCCTTAGGATCGCTTCTCTGTTTTTTGCAGATGATGTGGTCCTATTGGCTTCATCAGACCGTGATCTACAGATTTCGCTGGAGTGGTTCGCAGTCAAATGCGAGGCGGCCGGGATGAGGATCAGTTCCTCCAAATCTGAGGCCATGGTCTTCAGCCAGAAAAGGGTAGAGTGCCCTCTCCGGGTCAGGGAGGAGGTCCTACCCCAAGTAGAGTTCAAGTATCTTGGGGTCTTGTTCACAAATGAGGGAAAAATGGAACGCGAGATCGCTAGGCGGATAGATGCAGCGTCTGCAGTGATGTAGGCGCTGTACAGGTCTGTCGTGGTGAAGAGAGAGCTGAGTCAAAAGGTGAAGCTCTCAATTTACCGATGGATCTACATTCCTACCCTCATCTATGGTCATGAGCTTTAGGCTGTGACCGAAAGAACGAGATCACGGATACAAGCGGCCGAAATGAGTTTTCTCCGCAGGGTGTCTGGGCTCTCCCTTAGAGATAGGGTGAGAAGCTCGATCATCCGGGAGAGATTCAGAGTAGAGCCGCTGCTTCTCCACATCGTGAGGAGCCAGTTGAGGTGGCTCAGGCATCTGGTTAGGATGCCTGCTGGACGCCTCCCTGGTGAGGTGTTCCGGACACGTCCCACCGGGAGGAGGCCCAGAGGAAGACCCAGGACACGCTGGAGGGACTATGTTTCTCGTCTGGCCTGGGAACGCCTCGCAATTCCCCCGGAGGAGCTGGACCAAGTGGCTGGGGAGAGGGAAGTCTGGGCCTCCCTACTTAGGCTGCTACCTCCGTGACCCGACCCCGGATAAACGGAAGAAAATGGATGGATGGAACTTATTGAAGTTCCATGATTTGGTAATTATAATGTTTGATCAGTTATGTATAGGGCTCATAATAACACATTACCTTTAAATATCCAATTAAATTTTGTTAAAAGAGAGAGTTGTTATAATCTTAAGGGGATGGAAATCTTCATGAAACCTAAATTTAGAACTCATCTGAAGGAATGGTCTACCTCAATCCAAGGAATTAGATTATGGAATAATCTGGAGAGTGATGTTAAAAATGTAAGATCAATGAGTATGTTTAAAAGAATGATCAAAGTTGGTTTGTTAAAAAAATATGAAATAGCTTAATGTGTATTTGTATGAATAGTTGCTCAAGAAGGAGTTATTTAATTTTTTTTGTTATTTGAAGACTATTATTGTTTGAATTAATTTTTTGAAAAAAGGGGCAGATATAAGATTTTTTCTTCTTTCTGCTGCCTTTCATTTTATTTGTGATTGCATTTCTTATTGTTTATTGAAATGTTTTGCTTTTGTTTTTTAAAAAATTAATACATTTTATAAATAAATAAAAACGTCATATGATGACCGTGCAAGAAGATGTATTATTGTGATCTAATTAACTTTTAATTTAAAATTATAATCCTATTAACTCATTTTTTTAATCTCTGTGTTATTTGCAGTCTGAGGATGACAGCAGCTGAGTCTTGTTCATTCACCAGATCACCTCCAGATAAGAAGTCTGTAATGACTGAACTTGTTTACTTGGCAGATTTTTAAAATAAACATTTTGTAAGTCTTTATTTTGGTCTTTATTGTACCGAAAATGAACCGAACCGAAATGTGATTTTAGCGTACCGTTACACCCCTACCCATCACCACTCATCTCACATTTTGGGGTGGTC